ACTAGTTCATGAAATTCTTAAATTATCTTATTTTTTTTAGTTTAGTGTCAACCATTTATGAGTTTAATAAAATTTTGTCGTATACGACATTTGTCAAAAAATTTGCAGTCAGTTTTAGTGATATACGCCAAAATGTGATAACAATTTTTATAAATTAACCATACTTTTTACTAATCAGCCTAATCGTGAGTTTCGCCCGAACAAAATTTCGCCAACAATTTTTTCATCCACCCGTAGTGAACACACGCAAACGAAAAGTGACCCGGTTCTAGAAAATTAAACTCATGATAAAGCTGAATATGTCGGAAACTAAAGAACAGATAACTCTATTTGAAAGATCTTGATTAGTTTAGTACGACAGCAATACTAACGCAATTTGTACCAAATAACCGAAAAAATTTTAGTCAATTAGTCGGAAACTAAAGAAGATATCCAAAAACCACAAATTGTCAAAATGACGCTTCCGGTAATTTTCCATCCAGGCGACGATATTTGAATAGGTTTGTATGGTTACCAATAGTCAGTACTAATTTGTACTGGAACCTGCAAACTTTTACTGGAAAACTGTATGATAACCCAAAAAATTTGCAAGAGAGCACTGAATCGAGAGCGTAACAACACGAGAGAGCTGCAAATTCTTACTAGTGAAATTTTTACTTGCAGAAATTAGCTCGCAGAAGAAGAAGAAGAATAAATGTCAAAAGAATATATAAAAAGTGGTGTTACTAGCTCAGTTGATTTTGTGTATGTGTTTCGCCGCACGGCTTCTGATATCAAATTGAAAAATTTTGTTTGAATTTCTACACACACTTACAGATTTTGACAGTTTATGCCGCCAAAGCAAAAACAAAATACATGCAAATTTTTGTTTTTGTACTCCTGCTATCACCTTATATTGATTCGCCTTGGCACAAACAAAAGTAAAATGAGTGGAAATTATAATATTAATGATGTACTGGACAGTGTAAGTGCTTGTGTGTAAAGCAAAGAGTTTAAAACTGATTTATAAATAGTAAAATGTTTACAGCAGATTGTCAAAGCAGTGCAACAACTGTTCTCTTGCAAGTTTTTGCTAGTTTTGTGTTCAATAACCTCTTCTGCTAGTTTTCTCTTCTTCTCAATTTTACGCTCTATTTTGCTTTTACGTTCTCGCTGCAATGTTTTACTGGAGAAGTTACTATACAAACCTAATGTTACTCGCATATTTTCGAGCCTGTATGTAAATTTTCGGGAAAAAGATTAAAAAGTATATTCATCTGCTGAAAAGATATTTTCGCAGATTCACAATTTAGGGCCTGTGCCAATTGATAGAAAAGTTCTCTGGATAGTAAATTTTTGACAGCTATGAGGTGAATAAAAATGTTTGATACGGCAGGGCTAGTGAAAAATTTGACAGCAAGCATTATCAAGAAGAGGAACGAACAACGCACGTATACACATAAATTAAAGAAAACAAAAGCGAGTGGAAATAAAAGAACATGGTCCCGCCGGCAAAAAAAATAATGAAAAGCTATATAACTTGTAAGATTTAATTTCAGATTTACATATGAAAAGGCGTTATGTATTTGTTTAATTAAAAATACTATTTTACAGGGAGCAGTTCAGAACGCAGAATCCTTCTGGAAAAGCGCATTGACAAGGATGTTTGGTTCAGTTCAAAGAACGCCAACAGCAACCAAGGCTGGAAGTGAGTAAGAATATAAATAATTTGAAGACTTTATTAAGCAAATGACTTCGTACTCCACTGACCATCCGTGGCGCTTTTTGGGAATGTGAGTTACAATTTTTCGAAACGAAGCAGAGGACAACCTAAGATACATTTTTGTAGTCTTGTTATCGCCGTTCATAATGCTGCTTAGTATTTTGGAATAAACGTCTTGTTGCATATACATAATACCCTAAAACGACATATGTTTTTATTGGAAACAATTGTACCCGGTTTAAACATTTTTGTGAACACACTTACCAGACGATTTTGACGTGTTTTTTATTTCTAATATTACTGCTAAAAGGTCTAATAAATGCATGGATTTCAGTTCCAGAAGAATTGAAATCATCAAAGGCAAATATTTTCTATATAATGGCTGCATTTTATAAATAGCAAACTCGATAGTCTTCTTGTGCATCAAAGCAACTGTCAAAAATTTCCAGCAGTAAAAAGTTACGAATTGGCACAGCAGAAATGTAAAATTTTCTCACCATAGTAAAAAGTTTTTCCACCATAGAACTTTTCTATCAATTGGCACAGGCCCTTATTTAAAATAAATCTATCAGCCCTATCTCCAATTCCATGTGAATAAATCTCTCCAGTGGTTAAATAATTTTCACCACATTAAATAGCTGCACAACACCCTAATTGCCGAAAAAGCGTTGCTTGCAACACTAGTCCTTTATGGGGACCAAACTTGGTGAAAAAAAAATAGCTAAGTTTGTTTACTGGATATACTGAGCGGCCAATTCTACGGGCCTAAAAAATACAAATTGGCTTTTGTGATCCGTATCCGCGGTATCAACAAGGTTGCACAAAAAGTGCGTAAAGTTTTACAGCATGATTCAATAATAATTATTAAATCATGCGTCTTCGCCACATTAAAACGTTGTGTTCATCAAATTGAGCAAGGCAACCATTAATATGCTACGTATGCCGAACCCTATATGGGGTTATCCAAATTTTAAATCAGTTCGTGAATTGATGTACAAACGTGGAATTGTCAAGCACAACCATCAACGTGTCCCAATCTCTGCTTTGTGATCGAACGCAAATTTCGCGAAGCGCACGAAATTCAGTGCGTTGATTATTTGGTGCACGAAATATTCACTGTTGGAACCCACTTCAAGAAAGCCTCCAACTTCCTGTTGCTATTCAAGCTCAACACATCAACCCGAGGCTGGCGCTTGAAGGCTAATCACTACGTTGAGGTTGGTGATTTCGGTAGCCGTGAGGATAAGATCAACAAATTGCTGCACAAGATGGCTGATAGAAATTGTTGTTTTGTATTTAAGGCGACAAAAAAATTTGGCACATCTTCAAAACGAAAAAAATCGACCGTGTAAAGGCAGCTTAAGTAACGTTCAAATTAATCATCCCCTTTGAGATGGAAAATACCAATAACGATTTCATAATTTCGAAAACTATTTCATTTATATTTGTTCTTGCATTTTCCGCACCACTTGTGAGGTATGCTTTTAGGCGCATTACCGATTTTTTTTAAGGTGCTATGTTCCCCAGGAGGCCTATTTTCACCTTTACAACTTAACTTAAAAAGAATTAAAACTAAAGCATGCAATATATAAAGAAAATTAAAAATTGTCTTACATCTAGTAAACTTGAAAAATTGCACATTAAATTCATTTTTCATGTTAAAATAAAATTAAATATCACAATTCAGTTGAAGTGTATACATATGTACATATTTACATAATGTGGTCTGTTTGCATCCACAGTAAGTTCCCATGAAGCCTAGCCCAAATTCAGAACTGAAAAAAACGAGCAAATGGGTCGGAAACTACTACCTTTAAAAGCTTAATGTGGAAAATGTTTGAAGAGCTGCGAAACTGTATTGCAATAATAAAAATAACAGTGCATAAATTGGAAAAATGGTTTTTGTTTTGCTTTATAATTTTTGGGAATATTGGTTCAGATGGAATCTTTTTATTTGTTTGGTTTTTCAGCTCATTAATGATGCACCCAGAGTTGCATTTACTGTCTATGAAAATATTTCATGAAGCGTTCCAAAATTAGCTCCGAGCAACTAAAAGTTGGTTAAGCTTAAATGAAATAGTTCTTATTAAATATTTATTCCTGGTATTTAGTAAAAATCATTCAGATCAATACTAATGTATGAAATGAAAGTAAATAAAAATCTACGAATATATTTCATGAATATTTTGTCATAGAGCCATTATTAAATACAGATATAACTTTGTCGGGGGTTGGTGCTGACGTATATAGAATTAATGCGTTAGAGATATAAATATACAAGCTCATCGCGCTAATTTAGATATACTTGTATACCTGTTACTCGTCTTGCATATACTCCAACTGCGAAAATAATGGCAATTATAATTTATTTAGATGCATATTTTAGCTAAATGTTATATCGTCGCCTGGATCAAAGATTGTTACAAGTTACTTTCGGTAACTCACGATTGAAGTTTGGAATGCAATTTCTCAGAAACTAGACTACAGATTTTCTCCAAAGTGTCGGAGAGTAGTTCCTAAAATTCTTAAATTATCTTACTTTTTAGTTTAGTGTCAACCATTTATGAGTTTAATAAAATTTTGTCGTATACGGCATTTGTCAAAAAATTTGCAGTCAGTTTCAATGATATACGCCGAAATGTGATAACAATTTTTATAAATTAACGATATTTTTTACTAGTCAGCCTAATCGTGAGTTTCGCCCGAACCAAATTTCCCCAACAATTTTTTCATCCACCTGTAGTGAATACACGCAAACTAAGAGTGAAAAAGTGACCCGGTTCTAGAAAATGAAACTCATGATAAAGCTGAACATGTCGGAAACTAAAGAAGAACAGATAACTCTATTTGAAAAATCTTGATTAGTTTAGTACGACAGCAATACTAACGCAATTTGTACCAAATAACCGAAAACTTTTAGTCAATTACTCGGAAACTAAAGAAGATATCCAAAAACCACAAATTGTCAAAATGACGCTTCCGGCAATTTTCCATCCAAGCGACGATATTTGAATGTTACTAGCATATTTTCGAGCCCGTATGTACATTTTCGGGAGAAAGGTTAAAAAGTATTGTTACGATTATCCTCGAAACCTTGAGGGATTTCCCAAATATACTCGGGCTCGTATCGCTGGATTGTTAAATGAATGCTAACGATGACCAAATTGTAGTACAATTAACTTTATTGTACAACAAACAATTTACAATACTTGCTAATACAGTAAAAACACTTTACAATACTTGTTAAAGCAATAACAACGCTTTACTACTTGTTAAGACAATTAAACTTATAGCTTGCTTATTAGCAACTCAATTCTCCGCTCACTTTACTTGTAGCTTGCTGACTTGTAACTCACTCACTTCGCTGTGGCGGCGCCCTTATATACCTGCGCTGGCACTTATGGCAACTCTAGAACATTCTGAAGTTTATCGCTCATTCTCTTTCTTTCGCTGTTCGCAGTGTTCATCCAACTTGACGTTTCTCTTTGTGGAACATTCTACGTCATTCCTCGAACATTCTGCCTATTTCTCGTTGTTCGCTTTGTGTTGCCGCAGTATTCGCCACACTGCCCTCCACCTAAGTCTGATCGTCCCGATCAGACACACTTGGCGCTCCAACCGCTGCAAGTCTTTCCAAGTGGACCACTTTCATCTTGGTCCTCGGTCTCCCCATTGTCTGGATTTGATGCACTGCGTCCTTCAGCCGTTTGTCAATCTTCAACGGATCTTTTCAGTCAAGTCTTTGCTTGGAGGTAAAGCTTTTCTTCTGCTGCGACATGTACAACCACAGTGCGTTACTGGACATTGCTTCCGGCTTATCTCCGGGAGTGCACCATCTCACATGGTCGTGCTTCTGCCGGCCACTGGTGGTGACCAGACCATATCTCTTCTCGTGGGCACCCTTCTCGGATCTATGCCGCATCATCTGTCCCTGACACCCTGACTCCCGCCTTCGCGCTGCACTGCCTTTAGCACATCTTGCTACATCCGGATCCTTACGCTGAAGCTTCCGCCGTCGTTTCGTATCTCGCTCTTCCGCCGATGCTAACTTCATTGACCGGACATGTATAATCTCACCCTTGGCTTCCGGCTTAACTGCTCGCTTTTGCCGACCACCTTTTTCAGGACACTTCAAAGCGCGCCTACTGCTACCACAGCCGCTTCCATTTCCGGCCACCGGCGTATCACCATTGCAACGTGGTTCAGTGGCTTTCCTCCTGCCGGAAACACTGCCTGGCTCGCCATGACCACTTCCTTGTTGCGACCTCTTCTTCACTGAGCTAGCGGAACCGTCACGATTTTCCTGTATCAGTGAACCGCTTCCTTCTCCTGATGAAACCACTCCGTCTCCATCACTGCCAACCTCCGCCCAACTAACCGCTTCCGTTTCCGGTGGAATTGTCGACACTTCCTCTAAGACTAACCGTCTACTGCAGTACTGGCTGTCGTAACCAACCCTAAGTGGCACTTTCCTGTGACGATCTGTCAGGATCATTTTCTGGAGGTCAATCTTCATGCCTTGGCCAAGTAAGGAATCCACTCCGATGATGACTTCATCCACAATGTCTGCCACTATAAACTTAGTGTACGAGGCCCAACCGTCGATTATTACCTCGCATGGTACTTCTCCCAACACTTGGGTGCATTCCCCAGTTGCAGTCTGCAGCTTTGCTCCAGGTAGTGGCTTCACATAAAAAGTGGCCAAATCCGGTCGAATAATGGAATGTGTCGCTCCAGTATCCACTGTCAGTACTCTCTCCTGCCCATTCACACATCCACCAATAGTGAGGTTGCTCGCATTCCGCCCAATTTGTGAGACAGAGATTATGGGCCCTTCAACTTCTGGAGCCAGCACGCGGCCCTTCCTGCTGGCTCGTTTCAGTTTAACGACTGATTGGAGTTGGCTTCGTCTCCTTCAGCCCTGCGTTTGCGTCCTGCTGAATTGTTGAGCCCACTGGAACTTGCACTGCAATCGCGGGCGAAGTGGCCTGACTTTCCACATTTAAAACATTTGCCAGAACCATGCTTTTTCTCGCCCAGCAGTTGGATAATCTTCTTCAGCATTTCATTTGTCTCGTCCGGTGTTTCCACTTCCACGCGTCTGAGCATACGAGACAGTTTCAGCAAATGTTGGCTTGGGATTCGCGTACGTCTCTCGCTTGGTATACACGTCCCGCATTCCGTTGATGAACCTCTGGATTTTTACTCTTTCGAGGTGCTCACCAGATGCATCTCCAATTGCCAAATGAGCCAACCTTTCGATCTCGGAGGCGAATTCCTGTAAAGTCTCGTTGGATTTCTGGCAGCGATTCTCCAGCTCCATCTGGTAAATCTGTCTCCTGTGCTCGCTACCATAACGTCTTTCCACTGCACCCATTA